CTTCCTCTTACTGGCACTAACATTGTGGAATACTCTTCTCTGAGTCTGCTTGGGGTATTTTGTGGAGACGGGTATTGCAAAAAAAGTTCCTGTCAATTGGTTGCTTATTCTCCATTTCCTGACTAGAGAAGGATTTGAGTTTCTGGTCTCTGTCCACAAAGGCCAGTCTCTCAAGCCCTCTTACATCTATTTCCTTGAACCATAAAGAATAGCCCAGAACTAGCAAAGAGTAATTTCTCTGGGTGCTTAGCTCTCTTTGCCCACCCTTAGTCACTGTGATACTAACCGTCTGTCCCTGAATGTGGTCTGGTCCTTCCCTCTAGATTTTCTTTCCCTTAACAGGTCACAGTGATATGTTGCAGAGACCCTCATGGGGATAAAAGATGGGTTCTTAGGCCTTCACTCATTACTAGTAATTACTCATTACTCAGTAAGAGTAGTTTTGATCTTGTTAATGGTGTGTGGACCATGCCCCCCCTTTACCTCCCTTATCCCCTTCTTCCCATTCTGTCATAAATTAAAAAATACCAGCGAGTATGGAGCGATATTATGAAGTCTCTAGAGATGAACTGGCCAGGCATGATCTGTATGTTATACAAGAAAAAGATGTCTGAAGACATATGAAATTTTTGCAAATGCCATCATCACCATCACTGGTAAATGTAGTTTCTGTTGGTTTCAGGGTAAAACCAGGAGACAGAAATTAGTAGAAGGGAATTGACTTATACAAGGGGTGAGAGGGTGGGCAGTTAGTTGTTGAGCCTTCTGAGAGATACAAGTAGTTACACTGAGATAATATGTAATTATCCCCTGTGCTGGGCAAAGACTTTTTTCTTTGAAAGTCAGAGCTAACCCAAGACTTTCTGGGAATTGTCACCTGTATTTTCTCTTTAGAGGCTCTGTTTTTCTGCCAGTCAGCTCAGGTTAGTTGAGGAGAATGGAGAGGCTGCTGTTAGAAATGCCCTTTGAGCCAGGCATTTAATCCCAGCACTCGGGAGGCAGAGGCAGGTGGATCTCTGTGAGTTCGAGGCCAGCCTGGTCTCCAGAGCGAGTGCCAGGATAGGCTCCAAAGCTACACAGAGAATGAACTCAAAGTAGCAGGTGAGAGGATGTGGGTCTGTAGAAGGTGAGCAGAAGTAATCTCTTGCTCTGCTTACATTACACATCAAGGCAGATCAAAAGGGAAGATGAGCTCTCGGCTAAGTATTTTCTGAAAAGAACCCTAAGTTGCAGGCCCACTATATCACGAGTAGGAGGACTTGCCAGACCCAGCACCTCTCAAGCAGCCTATTATAATGCTTGTTCTGTCTGTTGACTGGTCCCCCATCCTCATCCTTTTTTCCTTTCAGGTAAATCTTTTGCCTGGCCACCCCTACACACACACATTTAACTTGTCTTATTGTTGTGATCAAGGATCCCTTGTGTCCAGTATCACCAGTCTGATTTTATGTTTTCTGCTTATTCAAGATGATTTAGTTAATAACACTGTATATTGCCCCCTTTCATTGACCTTAATTTTTGTAATGAGCTTAGATATATTTTGCCCAAAGCTGTCCTTTAAATCATGATCCTCCTGCCTCGGCCTCCAGAATACAGGGATTACAGGTGTGCACCCTGGCACCCCGCCCTTGACTTTAGTTTTAAAAGCCATACCAATGTGGTTTTGATTTATACCCAGAACAGACTGGAAGTGTGTGCCCCCTGTGTGGTTCTTCCCACTTTTCTTTGGAAAGTTGTCAAACCTTAACCTAGTCCCTTGTTTCCCCATACTGCAAGTGTAAAGTGGAAATAGCATTTGATAGAATTGGCTGTTAACTCACAGAAAGTAATTTGGTTTGCCTTTTGGCTTAAGAAGAACCTGTTGAATAACAGTGGGACAGTGAATGACTAAGGTAGTTCTAGCAGGGACCAGTGGGTCCAGGTATTCAGCATTTCCAGGACTCTTTCTTTCATTATTTAGATTTACTCCCTTCCATATTAGATCTTGTTTCTGTTAATTTCCCCCTGAAACTCAAGTTGTGTTATAGTATAGATGAAAAAGTTACAGGCCACCACACATGTAAGGCCAAATTAGAGTCCTTTACTTTTGGCCTTGACTAAGCGTGGGTTAGTGCCTCAAGGGGATTCTTGGTACATAAGTTCTGGAGTATAGCATTTTTAAAGTCAAAAGACCACACTGACCACAAGTACATCAGTCTTAGATAAGGGTCAAGGTAACTTTGCAACATCTGTGTTAGCAAAACTTAAAAGTTGTTAAAGTCACAGCATGACAATTAGTTTTGACTTACACCATTATCAGTTATTTAGGTTTAGTTTATACAGACATTAATTATTTTGGTCATTAAGTCTGGACCATGGTTAGGGTCATAGAAAACCCCAAATGTGTTGCCAAGATAGATGTGTCTGTTGTGGGGGTTTTGGTTGAAGAGTCAATACATCTGGACCATGGTCAGGGTCATGGAAACCCCCAAATGTGTTGCCAAGATAGATGTGTCTGTTATGGGGGTTTGGGTTGAAGAGTCAATACATCTGGACCATGGTCAGAGTGTCTGTTGTGGGCGGTAGGGCTGAAGAATGTCTAAACAGATACAAAATGGAGTCAGGACAAGACAGCCTTGCCTTAGTCATTTCAGCTTAGTGAAAGTGGCTGCAACAGCTGTGCTCAAGCTCCTGACAGATGTTTCTAAGCTGAAGTTTATCGACCCAGCTTGGGGTGTGCACTTACCCCTATGTGGTCAGCCCAAATTGATAGGTCACAAAATATCTCAGAAGGGAAACTGACCTGAAAGGAAATAGGGATATAGTTACATAAACAACAGGAAATAACTGTTAAGTGAGCAAAAATAACATTTGCTTTCTGGAAAGAAGATAAGATCATTGGGTGTAGGTAAAGTTTTTCATCTGGACCACCATCTGCTTCCCAAATAACCACTCAGAGATTTATTAATTATAAATGCTCGGCCAATAGCTCAGACTTATTACTAACTTACAACTTAAATTAACCCATTTCTATTAGTCTGTGTGCTGCCCCAAGGCTCGTGGCTTTTACTTCTCCTGTGTGTCCTGCTTCCTTTCTGTCTGGCTGACAACTCCTCTGACTCCACCTTTCTTCTTCCCAGCATTCTCTCTGCCCTAAAATCGTGCTTAGCCATCAACCAATCAGCTTTTTATTAACAATGAGAGCAATATGTATTTACAAAGATTGTTATACTGCAATTGGAACTAAGCCTTCTCTAAGAAATCCACAGAACTTACTGTCATCTAGAAGTTTAGGAGTTTAAATATCAAACAAACGGGTTTATCTGGCACAGCCAAAGGGCATTCTGGGGTCAGTCTTGTCTTGAGCTATGGGGATGATGCTCATGGGACAGACTTGCTGCTGCATGGCCTTTGCCTTAATCCTATTTAGCTGTACTTGGAATTGCAAATATCTGAAACTAATTAGATCAGAGATGTTTCAGCCTTAGTTAGATGAAATTCGTGTTTCTTGTAATTTCAGTTTAGTTTTCTGCCTTTCCAATAAGAATGTCTTTTAGCTTACAAGGCTTAGGAAATTGCTGCCCCATCACATATATTTAGACTTAATATCTAGTAGGATTTTCAAGTAGCAACTGGAAGAAGAGAACAAATTTAAAAACACTAATTAAAAACACTCTTTAAATAAAGAAGAAAGAAAATATTTGTGTGAACATACATATGTGGTTACCACAGTGCACATCCACAGTGCACATCCAAAGTCACAGAACAACTTGGGGACTAGAGTTCACTCTTTCCACCATGTGGGTCTTGGGAATTGAACTCAGCTCCTTAGACTTGGCAGTTAGCAAGTACCTTTACCCAGTGAGCCATCCAGTGACAATAGTTTCAGAGTGAGGAGAGCCCCTCACTCTCATGTCTAGCTGTGGTCTGACACCTGTACTGAGTATGGAGCTGGAGCCTCTGTCAGGAGTACACTTAAACTGGGATTAAGTAGGAACTCTGGAGCTAGACAGAGCAGGTGGTTGGCAACCAGGAGTCAGAAGGATTTTAGAAAGTCGGAGGAGTTTTTAGAAGGTCTTAATCAGTTCAGATAGCACTATAGTGGCTTATTTCTCATAATAAGAATAGTTGATAATTTAGCAACTTGGCCTTTTACGTTTGTCATAATCCTTAGTACTCTGGGTTATTTTAGAGTTTCAAATTCTGTTTATAAATAACCTAATGAGATTCTTTTCCCAAGTTTAAATGGAGATTATGTGTGGAATGAAAAGATTTGTTTTCTGTTTCTGGTTCAGGGATGGGGATTGATTCTAAGATTAGGAAAACTGGTTCAAATTAGAATTCAGCTGTTGAAGCAGGGCCTGATGCTCATGGAAAGGACAGTGCTTACATTGATGTCATAGTGTTTGTATAGCAGCATGAGCCAGAGAGTGAAATGGAAGTTGGACAAGGCTTTAAACTCAAAAGCCCACCCTCAGTGGCCTACTTATTTCAACAAGGCTGCACCTCCCCGTAATGCCTCCAACTGGGGGTGGGACACCAAATTCCTGAGCCTTTGTGGCCATTCCTCATTAGACCACTCCCTTCCCTTTTCATACCACTGTCTTATCTTTCTACTTCAGATACAGAAAAGGGAGAGACATCCCGCAGTCTGCTCATCAACAAAGAGAAAAGACTGGGCCTGCTTGAATATTGCAGGGTGGAGGTCTGCTATGGAAAGTAGAGGGGATGAGTGTGACTGTGATGGTACATGCAGCAGGTGTATATCATCATATTTCAAATGGGTGGAAAGTGAGACATGATTGCAGATTTGAATTTGGCTGTTGTAGTTGGAATTCCTGATGTTCAATATGATTGTGCCCTTTTGTAAATTGTTAGTCTTCTGAGTGACAGAGGTTATCATCTTTTTTACAGATGAGAATTGCAGCATTTTAGAGCTAAGACATTGACTTCTAGAGCCCACACCCTTGTCCATCTGTCTTGCTGTCTAGTCAATTAACCTATTTTGTCATTTTCTTCTATTTTAACATGGATATCTTTTCCCTCCCGTTAGCTTTTTTGAAGCCTGCTTGGAGGTTATGGCTGAAAAGTTGGACCCCAATTCCCTGGCTGATGGTTCAGAGCCACTTTTTTCCTTTGGAATTATAGCAGATATTCAATATGCTGATTTAGAAGATGGATTCAACTATCAAAGAAGCAGGCGGAGGTACTACCGACACAGTCTTGTTCACTTACAGGGTGCCATTGAAGACTGGAATAAAGAGAACAGCCTGCCCTGCTGTGTCCTACAGCTCGGAGACATCATCGATGGCTACAATGCACAGTACAAAGTATCAGAAAAGTCTCTAGAACTTGTCATGAACACATTCCAAATGCTTAAAGTCCCCGTTCACCACACATGGGGAAACCATGAGTTCTATAACTTCAGTAGAGACTTCTTAGTCAACTCTAAACTTAACAGCAAGTTTCTAGAAGACCGAATTGTACAGCATCCTGAGACCACGCCATCAGAGAACTATTATGCTTATCACTTTGTACCCTTTCCTAAATTCCGGTTTGTTTTACTTGATGCTTATGACCTGAGTGTCTTGGGCATAGATCAGTCTTCTCCAAAATATGAGCAGTGTATGAAGATGCTGAGGGAGCACAACCCAAATGTGGAGTTAAATAGTCCCCAAGGTGAATTATTGCTTTGAGCTGAGAATCTAATACATTGTCTTTAAATTCTTCAGCTACCTTTTATTCAGCAGGAAGATGGATGATTAAGGTAAAAGTTTATTGTCGCTGTTGTTCAGGGTCAGGATTCTTGCAAGCTTGATGTCACAAGAATTGGTTATAAGTAATTCAAACTTCAGACATTTAACAGATATTTGAATGCCCATCCTGGAATAAGGTGTGTGTGTGTGTGTGTGTGTGTGTGTGTGTGTGTGTGTGTGTAGAGAGGAGAGAGAGAGAGAACCATACCACCAGGTATGAAGGGCAGTTAATAAATATATTTGTTAGCTTTCCATCACTGATTAATACCTAAAATAATCAACTTCAAGGAGGAAAGAAAGCTCTGTCTTGGCTTATAGTTTATGGGGTTTTAGTTCATAGTCCCTTGGCCTGGTTGCATTTGGGCCTGTGGTGAAACAGCATGTTGTAACAGGGAATAAAGAATAGAGCAAACCACTCACTCATGGCCAGAAAGCAAAGTGGGAAAAGAGAGCCTGAGCTTGTAGTCTCCCTTGTGACTTGACTCCCTCACTAGTTCCTGCTTCTAAAAGATGCTACCAACTCCTAGTAGCAGCACAGTTCGTGACCAAGTCTTCAATACGTGAGCCTTATTGAACATTTCAGATCCAAAATATACCAGTAAATGAAACAAAAGCAAGATTATCTTCTCATGATAACCATGCTGGGAACATAGAGTAAGTTACAGCAAAGAGCTAGAGATGCAGTTTTAGATTAGGTGAGCAGACAGAGGTGCTCCCTGGACTCAAGTGTTTAAGCTGTTGTCAAGGATTTACACTTCGAAAGAGAAAGAGTGGGGTAGGAAGCTGGCAGGCACGGGGAGACACAAATGCAAGGGCACTAAGTTGTGTAAGACTGGCATTATTAGGCAGCACAGGATCCATACGGGGGTGAAGGTACAGTACTGTGTTGTAGGGCCTGAAGGACATAGTAAGGGGGTTGCACCTTCAGGGTAGTGGAAAGCCAGTGAAATAAGCAGAGGAGACCAACACTAGAATTCACATCACTGTATTTATATATTGCTCTACATTCCTAAGATGGTGATTAGATATCCCTAAAGAACATGCTATGTTAGCAAAACTTGAATGTCCAAATGAGGGAAAATAATATGCCGTGGGTCTAATTTGCTGAATTCATTCAGGACTTTCTGAGCCCCAGTATGTCCAGTTTAATGGAGGATTCAGCCAAGAACAGCTGAACTGGTTGAATGAAGTTCTTACATTCTCTGACCTGAACCAGGAAAAGGTGGTGATTGTGAGTAAGTATGTAAATTGTTTCCTTGGTTACACTGCATTTTAGAAATTGGGAAATTATTCATGAAAAATAGTAATATTTCTATTTCGATACCATCTTTCTGTAAAACAGATACTTTACTTTTTTAGGTTTTAAAATAATTTTATTTAGTGTATGAATGTTTGCTGAATATGTCTTTGTGGACTGGGTGTTGCTGAATGTGTCTTTGTGGACTGGGTGTTTGCAGTACCCAAAAAACACCAGAAGAGGGTATCAGGTCCCTTCTCCTGGAATTATAGACAATTGTGACATGTGGATGCTGGGGATTAAATCCAGGTCCTCTGGGAGAGCAGCCACTCAGTACTTTTAACTGCTGAGCATCTCTCCAGTCCTACTTAATAGTTTTCACTGAAATATAATGTAGGTCTTAACATTTAAGAATGAGTCAGGAAAGAATTGTGAAATAACAAAACCATTTTGCCATCTATTAGTGTCTCTGAGTTTCCCCTAGGTTTCAAAGTAGACTTTTCTCAACTGGGATCAAATTATGTACTAGTTTTAACTGAGAAATTCTTTTCAGGCCCCACCAAGTCTTAGCCTTAGGAGCCCTGGCTGGCAGCGATATTGCTACTACTGGGTCACTGTTGTCCAGCTGAAGCAAAGCTAGTATGAGATGTGACAGCAAGCTCTTGCAGTTCTCTGTCAATCCCACAGTTCCAGAGGCATTAGTTTCCTGCTGTTTTCACTTAAGACACACCTCTGTCAGAGATAGTAGGCAATTTGGAATCACATGTAATGTCTGGATGCCATCTGTCTCTTGGTTCCATGAACATTGTGAGTGTTGACAAGCAAAACCTGTGAACTAGAATTTTCTCAGCTTGTAACACATGAAATCATTAATGAAACTCGTTTGAAAATGATAGGCTCTTCAGGTGGCTGGTAATATAAAATTGTGTTTCTATCTGTAAAGTGCATTGAATAGGAGCGTGTCTGCTGCCATTTGACCCTCCTTTTAGCCTCTCAGCCTTATTATAACAGCTCATGTCTGTCAGAGGAAGGAAGAAGGGGAGGACACACACCCAAGTGCTTGGGCACACCAAATTTCCTCCCGCTTTAGGAGTCTTTTCCCCACTCCCTCTCACTTGCTTATAAACAGGTAGGTATTAAATGGGACTTGCCTGGATGTAAGGCTACAGATGACCAGGAGCAGAGCAGAGCTAAGTGATTGGAAGGAAACCAGGATTGGTGAGCTCTGCTGTTCCCTTCAGAGTACAACTCTGGCCTGGTGCCTGGTCTCAGACGGACTGGAAGTCCTTCGTCTGTTCCTGCATATTTTCTCTCGGCCTGAGGTCAATGTTCCAGGCTTTAATCAGTTTTTTTTGCAGCTGCAAATTGGATCTGGCAGCCTTGATCTCCAGAGGTTCTTTAGAGTCTCTTGAACTGTTGCTGTTCAGTGACATTTTTATATAACACAACCCCTGGGCAGCTCCTGAGCTGTTTTTTAGAGACGTCGTTCTTTATATGTAACATTCCTATTTGAGGAAATCAGGGAGATTGGATTAAAGTGCAGAATCTGGCTGACTCCTGGCTGCCTTTACAGATGCCAGGTACCGGATGTCCTGGGGATTCTGTAGACCTCAGACATCATTTTCCTATACAAATGTGGCTTCCACCTTATATCTGAACCAGCTACCCATCTGTTTGTTCTGTGTGCCAGAGATGAGGCTTTAGATTGCCCGCTTGGTAGCTCAGTCTGGCTTTGAACTCATGATCCTCCTTCTGATGCTTCCCAAGTGCTGAATTATAGAGCACATTGCCACCTTGGTCTTGGTGTGGATGAAGAAGCATTGTATTTAGGTGTGGTTTTGCTGAGTACTAGCTTTCGGTCTTTTTAATGAAAAACGATTTAATTGACCCCTAATTTTTCTTTAACAGGCCATCTTCCCATTTACCCAGAAGCCTCTGACAGTGTGTGCCTGGCTTGGAACTACAAGGATGCGCTGTCAGTCATATGGTCTCATAATTGTGTGGTGTGTTTCCTTGCCGGTCACACACATGACGGTGGCTACTCTGAGGATCATTTTGGTGTGCACCATGTCAACCTTGAAGGAGTTATTGAAACAGCTCCTGATAGCCAGGCGTTTGGCACAGTTCATGTCTACCCTGACAAAATGCTACTGAAAGGGAGAGGCAGGGTTCCAGACAGAATTATGAATTACAAGAGGGAAGAAGTTTTGTGTTTTTAAGTCTCATTGTCTTGTCTGTTGTAGAATGACATTATTTTGTGTCTTACTCTATTGCAAACAAAGTTAAATTCTCACTGGGTGTGGTGGCACACCACACCTTTAATTCCAGCATTTAAGAGGCAGAGGCAGGCAAATCTCTCAGTTCAAGGCCAGCCTGGTCTACAGAGTAAGTTCCAGGACAGCCAGAGCTAGCTATTACACAGAGAAGCTCTGTCTAAAAAAAAAAGGAAAAAAAGTTAAATTTTCAGTCCCATTGTTAAGTATTTTGTTTGTACAAAGTGCATTTGTGAGCCGGGCGTTGGTGGCGCACGCCTTTAATCCCAGCACTCGGGAGGCAGAGGCAGGCGGATCTCTGTGAGTTCGAGGCCAGCCTGGTCTCCAGAGTGAGTGCCAGGATAGGCTCCAAAGCTACACAGAGAAACCCTGTCTCAAAAAACCAAAAAAAAAAAAACCAAAAAAACAAAACAAAAAAACAAAACAAAAAAAAACAAAAAAAAACAAAAAACAAAAAAAAACAAAAAAACAAAGTGCATTTGTTGCTTCAGTATATGAGAGTGAAGATAAAATTCAGAAATGTTATTTTTGGATAATATATACAAGTGCTGATGGCTAGAAGTAAAGCAAACCAGGAAGGGGACTTGTGGGCATATAATCTGATAAGGAATTGTGTTTAGCTTAATTTTAATCTCTTCTTTTGTGTACAAGGAGAATGTGCTGTTGTGTTAACTCTAGAACCGAGCACATGGGAGCCCTGCTGTGTGAGTGGGCTTTGGACCGTTGTGGTTCAGAGCACCCAAAGGTGACATTCCTGTTCTGTGAAGAGAAACTGAGAACTCATTTCAGGTGAAGACATGGTACTTCCATCTCAGAAGAGCCTGTAGGGAAGTACCAAGTGACACCAGAACCACGTGCTGAGTGCTGGCTAGCCTGCTCTGTTTGAAATACCCAGCACTGGGACCACAGTGTAGAAAATCATTTTTGACTTCTACTCTAGACAAATGGAGCCCACTCCACTGTTGCTGGTGGCAAGGCTTAGCTGCAGAAAGTCTTGACAGCAAACAGACCAGTGCAGAGTAGAGTTTGATGCAGGGCTGAAAAACAGAAATTCTAGTCAATGTAAGTACCTGTGAAACGCCTGCCCGAAAACAGGTACGTCATTTTCTGTGGCTGCCCCAGTGAATTCTTGCCCATGTGGCAGCTACCACATGCATCGGTTCTCCGGTCAGTCTAAAGGTCAGGACTCTGCAATCATTCCACCAGGCTGAGAACAGGGTTGGTGTGGCCACATTCCAGTGGGAAGCTCTGGGCAGATTCTCTTCTTTGCCACTTCAGCCACTCAAGATGCTCTTTGGCATCACTTGGCCCTCTGGGTGGTCTAAGCACCAGCCCGTGTCAGGGCTCATGATCTCATGTGCAAAGTACATCTCACAGTTTAAGGCAACAGGGATCATGGCTCTACCCAGCCAGCCACAGCATGACTGTCATGTGTTCTGTGTACACTGATGTCACCAAGATGGAAAAAGACATACAAACACAAGTACAAATGTGAGGAATTGCCCACCTCATATAAAAGGACAAAGAATTGGAAGAGAAACTTGAATTTCATTTGAAGAGATTAGGGATGACAGGGGGAAAAAAGAAGGAAGATGGTTTAGCTGAGGGGGGAAGGTCAGTGAGTGAGGGCTGGAGGGTTAAAGCATAGGAGGAACTCTTGGCTTCTGAGCTATGGATGTGTGTCTAGAGAACAAACTGATGGGCAGACATAGGAAAAGGGAGAAGACTGTGGGATCCTGGGGAGACGTCCTGAGAACTGGAATGTTAAACCTGCTATTGGTTCTTAAATCCAATAGAAAAAATCGAGTGTAGTCTTCACCCCTCCAAAGCTGTGCATGTGCCAGTGGCTGCCATCTCAGTATCATGGCTGCCCTTTTGCTTCTGGTGAAGGCTAAGAGGTGCATTCTGTACCATTCAGACCCATAGGTCAAAACTAAGTTAACTAGCGAGATCCCAGAAATATCGAGGTGCAGAGAAGATTCCAGGCCAAAGCCTGATACCCAGTATTGGTTATGGGGAGGGCAAGACAACCGCTGCCCAGTGGCTTTTGGAAGTCCTGGTCTGGAAGTGCTCCTGATAAACAGCAAGTCTCACTGTGCTGAGATCATTCAGTCCTTCCTCCAAGAACCACAAGACCCTTGTGGAGAGAGCAGTGTATCTGGCCAGCAAAGTCACCAAGCTCAACAGCAGGCTGCAAGGCAAAGAAAATGAATTGACAGTTCACACGCACATATTATTTATACTGAAATAAAACAGTAGATGCTGAAGGAAAAGGAAGTTTAGCCTGACATGTTGGCTAGATTGACCTACAGAGACCCCGCCTGGAAAAACAGTAAATAAAAATCATTCCATTGGTAAGGACCAAAGCCAAATACAGACCAAAAGTTAGTGTCTTCCATGCTTCTCTGAAGGTGCAAAAGGTACTATGAATATTTACAGCCATACTGGTCTATATAGGGAATTAAAATACTCAATATATATTTTAAACATGAGTCATTTACACAGAGGTCAAGCATGATTTGGAAGATTCATAGGGCCTATATTGAATTTCCAAATGGATTGGGTTCGTTATAACTAGTTCTAAAGAAGATACATAAGCTGTAAAGAACACGTGAGCTAAAGGGACACTGGGAAACTCAGACCCTTGACATGTATGTATTTTATTGACTCAAACTGCACTGTAATTGCTTTAATATCAATTTACTTTTTCCTTGATAATCTGACTTCAGTGGCCAGTTTTTAAAAATAAATATTCCTTTAGTATTTACAGAGTACTGTTGCATTATAGGGTATTAAATATCAGACTTATTCCTTTGGCATGATAGGTACTAATTCTATTTAAAAGAAGCTGTGGTGATACCGTTCTCAAGAAGCGTTTCTTAAATCTCCTGAAAATACATCTGTCTTTTCTATTGCTGAAACGAAACACCATGACCAAGGCAACTCATCTAAGAAAGCATTTAATTTGGGACACATGGTTCTAGAACAGTGGTTCTCAATCTTTCTAATGCTGCAACCCTTTAATACAGTTTCTCATGTTGTGGTGACCCCCAAGCATAAAATTATTTTCATTGCTATGTCATTAACTGTAATTTTGCTACTGTTGTGAATTGCAATGTAAATATCTGATATGAAGATGGTTTTAAGTGACCCCTGTGAAAGGGCTATTCAACACCCAAAGGGGTTGCAACCCACAGTTTGAAAATTGTCCCAGATGGTTAGAGTCTACGATGGCAGAACGAAGGCACAGTGGCATGAACAGCGGAGAGCTTGTATCTTGTTCCAAATGGAGGACAGAGACATTGAGAATGCCCTCAAGTCTCAATCCTGGTGACTCCTTCTCCCAGCAAGGCCACACATTCTAGCCTACCCAAACAGGCCATCACCTGAGGACCAAGCAGGAGAATGGCATATGGGGGCCATTCTCATCCAAGCCACTCATGTGGTCAGAGTTTAATTCCAGTCTAGATAAACTTCCCATCCAGATATCTAACACACCCTGTGAGCTAATTAAATAACCTAACACACTTAAAGCAGTCACACATTAATAAGTAAATACATTTTATTTAGCCTAACTCATCTCAAAATACTTTTCAGGATGCAAAGTATGCAAAATGCATCCTGTGCTTATGTCTAAACTTTGTTGTGTTTTGCACTGAGTGTATCCACCTGACTTAACACTTGCAAATACTTCATCTGTAGATAACACTGCGCATGAGTGCTCCTGACACACACACAAAACACACATGTCATTCCAAACACACGTAACCTTTCTGGCAATTGAGTATCTGCTTCTAAAAGTGCAAAAGTCAAGAATTTATTTCTTTGGGCACCCTGCCCACAAGTTAAGTGCTCAATAACAACACATGGCTGCTCTGTTGGGTTGTCACCCAACAGTGCTCTCTGTATGGTCATAGTGATATTCATTAAAAGAACATAGAGCTTTCTATCTTCTTTTCCACCGAGAATAAGAAATTATGATTAATAGTCCCTGTTCTTTTTTTTCTGTATTCCAAATTCATCCTTTTTTTTATTGAAATACTGAACACATTAAAGGTCTTTTGAATGGACTTCCTTCTACATTGGGACTTTATTTTTTTATTTAAATTAGAAACAAGATTGTTTTACATTTCAAAGCCTGTACCTTTTCCCTCCCCTCCCCCCCCCCCCCCCCCCCTCCGCGCCCTCCGCCCCCCCCCCCCACCCC